CGCAGACACACTGGACGAACAGATTCGGCGCGGCGCGGGGGTGGGGTGACGACGTCACCCCGACGCATTTTCCTCCCCAACGGCCGGCGCCCCCGCCCCTGCGGGCCAGGCGGCGCACTGCTGGCCAGCGCGCTGGTTTGGCAGAGCGCCTGTGTGGGGTACCGCCCCTCTCCCCTGCCCCGGCTCTTCTACGGGGGCCGCAGCCATTGACATCAGCGGGGCTCGCCTCGCAGCGGCTCGGCGGATTGAGCTTGCACACTCCAAGATACCGGCTGCGGGGTAGCTTCAGAGCGGCGCGGCGGGCCTGTTGCCGGCGCTGACAGGAGCCACCGGTCAACGCCCCGGACATGAGCCATGCGCTCAAACCCTGACGGCCCTTTTTGACTTGGAGTGCGCCAACTGGGCTGTATGTTGACGTCAAACGACTTGTACTGTTTGTGGCCCGTGATTGGGGGCTTGCAGAAGTTCCTGATGGTCAACAACACAGATGCGGTCAGCTATCAGCCCGACACAAGGCCTTTAGTTGTGGTCTCCCATCACCCCTGAACCCTTACTGAAACCAAAAGCAAGATCCTGCACGGGCCCTCAAGCCCCAATGCAATGTTTGTGTGTAAATGCGTGTCGCAAATCATTGGCTGTTGGGTTGGCAATTGCAGAGCTAGCTGGGGGTGAGCCGGCAGGGCGCTTCCACACTGTGCGTGTGTGAGTGCATGTGTGCGGGTGCGGGTGTGTGCGTGTGTGTGTGTGTGTGTGTGTGTGTGTGTGTGTGTGTGTGTGTGTATGTTTGTGTGTGTGCGCGCTCGTTTGCGTACGCACATGAGCGTGCGTTCACGCACGCGTGAACGCACGCGCACGCGTGCGCGTGCGCAGATGCATACACGTTGTGGACTGGGTGTGCAGAGCACCTGCGTGTGCAGAGCACCTGGGCGGTAGCTGCGACCCTGATTTGGAGCCTCAATGTTTGCCGCAGTCGCAGTTATGGGTTTGTTGATGAGCTTTATATACACGGCATAACAGCCGTACGCTCCACAGCAAACGTGAGCTACTGCCAGTGCCAGTCCATGGATGCATAAGTGCGACCCTCCAGCAGCCCCCATCTGCTGCATGTGTCCTGTTCGGCTTGACATTTTATGAGCCCTTGTCAAGTATAATATCGTTGCGTGCTTTCACACGGTCTGCAGAGACCCGGCTGTGCCAGTGGCACCGCTGGCGATTGCAAACGCACACGCGCGCGAGTCGTTGCCCCTTTGTATACGTACGTAATACTACAAATACACTAGAGAATCATTTCCCGACATTTCCAGCAACGTAGTTTGGCACGCGCGCAGCCGCTGTCCTCCCAAGTCGGCACAGCCATGAGAGGCGCCAAACATCGCTTGGCGCCGTTCGTGCTGTCGACGGTTGGCAACACAGAGGTCTGGCTTCGGCGCCTCCAATACCACGCACTCACAGTCGGAGAGGAACCCCTCGGCTTTTACGCCCCTCCAGACCCTGCGCACGACCCCGATGGGTCGCGGCTGGCCGAGTGGGAGCGTGATGACGCCGACCTGCGGGCGCTCATCAGGGACTTCACAGAACCGGGATTTCATGGCCTGTACGTGGCTGGGATGTCAGCGCAGCAGTGGGTAGCGGCCATCGAGGCACACGTGGTCGACGCCAATCGGCGCAGGGCGCCGCAAATCCTGGACAGATTCTACCGCCTGTCCCTCAGGAACAGCCTGCCCAAGTACTTTGACGCCGTCAGGAGTTCCATCTACGAGATGAAGCTCTTGGGGCAGCTGCACGCGGTGCAGGGCCCCGACGTTGCCACCAAGGTGGTCTTTGGCCTGGCGGGCGAGCCGAGGGAGAAGACGCCCCTCAACCACCTCTTCAGGCACTACATCCTCGAGTGGCGCGTGCGCCCACGGGCGGACAGGCCGCAGGACTTTGAATCCCTGGCCGAGGACATTACGAGATGGAAAGAGTTCGTTGAGACTTACGGCCTCGTCCCCAACGTCGAGTCGGCGTCGAGCGACGCGAAGCCAGTTGCTGAGGCGCGACGCCGCAAGCAGCCGGCAAGCAGCCGTGGCTCTTCTGCCCCCGCCGTGTGCTACGGCTGCGGCGAGGTGGGGCACATCCGCAAGGACTGCCCCGCCGGCGGCGATGATGGCGGCGGCGGCAGCAGCGGCAGCGGCAGCGGCAGCGACAGCGTCGCTGGCGGCGGTGGTGGCGGCGGTGCACGAAGCGGTGGAGGCTGCCACTGCCAACCAGGCACACCCGTATACACCCGTATACACCCGTATACACCC